CAGCAGCGGCAATCATCTGGGATAAATATTTCACATACAAATAGTCTAGTGGCAAATATATGGCTTCTCTTCTGGTGAGAAAATGTGCATTGATTTCACTAAGTAACAACCCTCCCCTTTTGAAACTGAATTAATTTTAAAACCACATTTTGTGAACGTCTGTTAGACATTGTTAACAATGTTAAACGGTAAGAATTTTTACTTGGAGAAAGATCATGTAGATTTGATTTGTGACTCTGAGGAGATTCTAACTTATATTGTATTAGATGTAATGTATTAGATTTCTCACATATTCTCTATCCTGCTTTGCATAATAATAATATAAAATGAATGAGATCAGAACAAAAGAGAAAACGACCGTGACTCTATCATCTAATGTTTTCACATGGTAGATAGACTCGGAGGGTCTCTTCTCCAGGGACTGTTTACTTGTGATGAAAAGAGTGATCAGTAAAATAATAATCTGCAGTAGAGGGACCAAAACCTAATATTGTCTCCCTATACCTAGGTGACTGTACTAACCGCTAAGCTAAAAAGACATACTTTATTTCATTTACCAAATGAAATGTAACACTTACTTATTTATATTAAAAAAATATATATTATTACTAGATTCCTGACTTCATTTCACTCGAGAAGTACTCACCTTCCTAGGTGATGGGGTCCAATATTACAACAATTAAACCCTATGAAAAAGGTGCAGCACCACCTATTGGGGATATGGACTGTGCACTTACCATTACAATAGTAGTAGAAGTTTGTTCTATTTTTTGCTAGTCATCTACCATCTGCACAGGTTTCTGAGCTGGGCTTCCCCCTTCAGTTGTGAACTCAGGCATGAGAATATTTCTTGGATTTGAACCTAATTATCAGCAAAAACAAAACAGATAGGGGACAAAAAAGACTCAGCTAAGGAGAAAAGTCATTTCCAAAAAGAATAAGGGAAGCAAATACTGCACCTGAGGCCATTCTTGAACAAATTTGGAAAAACCAAATTAATGGTCTCCAGATGCTTTCCCAATTTCCAAAAAAACCCACCAGACTCAGCATGGCACAGTAGAATGCCACGTGTTCTAAAATCCTACCATGCAAAGAAGAAACCGAGATCTTTCCTGGAAAACAGTTGCAGGAGGGAATGCCTATCCTGCTTAACAGGAGGTAAATGGTGGCTCAGAACAGCAGTAAACAGAAAACAGGGCAACCTGACAGCTACTGGCACCTTCCCCCTCTTGAAGTCAGACAGACTTTACCCAAGCGCCTTTGGGTAAAGCCGCTGGCACTTTGATCAACAACCTGAAGTTCATTGGTTTTAGCATTAGCGTTGCTAATTGCTAAAAACAGGAGATAAAGGCTTGCATAGCCAGATTAATATCCTCCCAGGGCCAGTGAACGAATTGGACTGTTTGAACAAGATGACAACAGCAGACTTCCAATAAAGAAAGATAAGTGCGAAGAGATTAAGGTGGATGGCAGTAAAAAAGACAACCTAAAAGGGTTTAGCTACTGCCAAGTCCCTTCACTGTCATACTGTGACTACTTTAAGGAGACTATGAGAAAATACAGAAGATGCAAGTGATTCTGGGCAATATGAAGCGTATTTAGAAGCTAAGGTAATCTGTTTGGGGTTTTTTTTTGGGGGGGGAGGAGGGTGGCCTTTTTCAGTTGAGCAGTCATATCTTCTCTCATTCTTGGGTGGATGGGCAGGCACGCAACTTTCCTACCTGCTGGTTTTATACCTGGCTGAGCTTCTAAGTCGCGTGTTGTTCCATGTTTTGAAATGCTGTCTTCAAGTTGTAGATGTAAGATGCTGCCATTTCACCTGTCTTACTTATTCCTACTCCCTCGATATCAAGTCACAAGGTAATCAAGCTTTCTAGAACCCCAGCATGATTTGGGTGAAAGAGAATAACACATGCTTGTGTGCCTGCCGGGCATCTGAAAGTGGCCCTTTCTCTTCTCAAGTTGCATTGAGTTAGTGTTGCAACTAAAGCAGGGGCCTGTAGCACCCCTGAAAGCAGAAGCACACTAAGCAGACTTTAATACTGGCTCATTTTGAACCGAAACATAAGCACGCTAATGTAGCGTATCTTAAAAAGACAAAATTCCCCAATTGGCAAGCTAAGGTAAGAGAAAGATCAGCTCCCCGCAGCAAAGAGTTCCTGTGTTTAGCCACCTTGATGACTATCGAGGACCATAGTCATACTCTAACTCTGCCCCATCAGCTCTGTAGTACTGTATTCTCACAGCTAATTTAGCATAAAAGTGTTAAGGACGGACTGCTTTGTATATGTAGTGATAGTGACTGATAATCAGTAAGAACGAATACGCAGTGATAACAATTTTGAGAACTAATTATTAGTATGGAGTGTTTTGTTAATGAATGTCTGTCTAGCAAAGCTTTGTTTTAAATTTTAAAACTGATGTGCTATATCAGTCCCCATCACAGCACGCCCATCACAGCAGTGTCCAAGTCCCTAAATGGGTGTGTGTGGGAGTGTGTGTTCGGATGCCGACAGTTGTACAAATCACGGACAGTTGCAGGATCAAAAACAAAGCATGCACTGCTGCAAATTTCTAGACCTCGCTCTGGTCCGATTAGGCCCTACTAACCAGCAATCCTGACTGCAGAGCTAGGCTTAAAAGCTTTGGGAAGCAGCAAAAACTGCTCTTTATCTCTGTTATTACTCAGTGATCTGTTTTCACCATAACTTTACTCTGAGCCCCTCCAGATCCGCCACATCAGTGTCACTCAATAAATGTAGCAAGGCAGCCGTGAAGCAAGGATGTAGGCAAATCTCATCTAATTAACTTCTTTACCAAACAAAGCCTAGGCTCATGTGAATGTCCCATTTAATCTTTACTAGCTTATTTTTTAACTCTGCATCTTGACAGAAGGTTGTACAGAGAAGATATTTAATGCACTTAGGGTTACTTCCCATTCAATGCAGGATGTTTTCGCTGGAGCAGACTTATTTCAGATCGTTGTAGTTTCTTACCTGGCAGCATCTTTAGACCTATAAAGTAATAGGTATCTGAGAGGTCTTTAAGTGAGCTGTTCTAATAAAGGCTCATGGCTTTTATAGGTGTCCTGCTTCAGCAATTTATAGTTCCCCTTGCTTGGTTCTGATGCTCTTAAAGAAATTCCAGGTTCTGCTTCCAGACGAGTAGTTCTGCATTTAATTTGGAACAGTTATAGCCTGCATATGAACTTCCCTCATAAGCAAGTTATGACTGGTCTCTTATTAAGTCTGTACTCTTTGTTTTTTCACACAATTTCTGTTACTTGTCTCCTGGGCCACCTTCATTGCAAAGTCTCTTCAGCGTGCACAGCCAGATATATGGCCATATCCCTCTCTCCTTCCCTCGTATCCTAAAAGAAAGAAAAGGCTAAGGGTGCACTCCGTGAATGCTGATCTTCGGATAAAATTGGGATACTTCTGGTTCTGCCTTCTCCTGCCTCGCACTGGCACTGGTTAAACTCACGCAACTAGACAATAAATTAGATCTACAAGCTCATTTGACTGCAAATGAACCTTCTCTTTACGGGTTGCCGGTTTTCAGTCAGCTCATCTCGCTGGCCTGTCTACCCATGCTGTGAGTTAACAGCGCAAGGGGGCCTGGGAGCACTGGAGCGAGGGAGGCACGGGGAGAGCAGAACCACCCTGTCCATCACCCGAGTCATTTGTGAAAACGCATCCTCAGGCCCCTACCGCTGAAAGAGGGGCCCGGGATATCACATCCTCATGAAAGGATGTTTTTATCTGCCAGTTTGAATCAAGTCTTAAAACTCCAGAGTGTGGCAGCATGCAAGACAGCCCTGTCCTTAGGATTGCCTGTTGTTTAGCAAAGCAGCTGCCTACTCAGCTGGTGAATCTCTCCTGTGAATTTGCCCTGTGCCTGCTCTAGGGAGTGCAAGTGCTAAAGTCAGAGGTGCTGACTCCGCTAACAGGCTTAAGAACCCAAAAGTTAAGTGCTGCAACACTCTGCATTTGTCATCTCCAGCAGCAAGGAACGTCAAATCGTAGTTTAGCGATACTTCATGTGGCTTCTGGTAACAGGTAAGGGATACAAGGAGGTCAAGTCACTCGTGTGTGCCCCAGTTTTCATTTGTAATGGCCTCTATAATGGTCCTTTCTGTTTCTTATTGTTATTATTACTATTATTTTTTTTTTATAAAGGAGCATTGCAATATTAGGGTGTTGGGTACATTTTGCTGGTATTGGTAAACTGTCACTTAAGGATTTTAAACCTTTAAAGGCTTTTTTTCAAATCCTTGAATTAGATTCTGCACAAGTCTATTTTTTGAAAGTTGGACTTATTTATGGAACATAAGCAGTATTCTGAAAAAATGCTGTTTGTTTTAAGTAATTCCACTCCTGTCTAGAAGTAGACTGATAGGCTACATATAAATAGAAAATAAAGCTCTTATTTTGGTGGGAAGGATAGTTTGATCAGTTAAGTACTTGTCCCTCCCTCAAAATAACTATTTTCTCATGCCCCCTTCTGACAAAAAAAAAATCGGAAAACGCTCTCAAAACAATCTCCCATCTTTTCCGAGGAAAGCCAAACACGCCCATCTTGCCACTTTAACGTTTAAAATAAAAACGCACAAGCCTGACTGATTCAACTGCATGTGACTCAGCTGAGACACGTCTCTCGGTTCCTGTTGTCTGGACTACAGTTTGAAGGGGACTTTGTCAACCGAAAGAGGAACAAACAAACAGCACCGCGATCCAGCGCTTCGCATGGGTGTTCTCTGCGGAGGTCCCATCCCGCATCCCAGGACTCCAAAACTAGCGTTAGAGCCCACAGGCCGTATTTCCAGGCATCTCGCGAGTGACATCCATCAGTCTCGCACGTCAAGAACACCAAGAAGGGAAAGGAGTGATTTCTCATTTTCTAGTTCTCTTTCAAAGAGTAAAACGCCGGAGCTTCCAAAGGCTCTCGGGGTGGCAAAAGGGCCCCCCAGCCAACAGCGCGGACTGAAGCCCGAACGCGGCATGCGTTGCCCGGTCCTGAGTGAACGTCAACCCCCGCGGGTGATCCTGTCGGTCACGGTGA